TCCAAGGGAGAGAGAGTGGTTGTGAAGGGTGGCAGTACTTCCCTAAATCTTTGGCTCCCACACAATAGTAAGCCCTCACTGGGTTCAATAATGTGGTGTATTTTTTCGCAGGATGGATGTCTCACCCCTGCCTAGAGATTGCTGAGGGCTTTATGGGTTGCTTCCTTCAGGAAGCTGGGAAACACATGGTCTTGGGCTATATCTTTGTGAATTGAAAGTGGAAATTTTGGAGAGAAGGTCCTAAGGTGCCGGCGGTTTGGGCACAGCACCGCGGGCTGAGCCTTCCCAGTCGGGGGGCAGACACCCGGGGTGTGGGTCATGTGAAGGGCTCCCCAGCAGCACTGGGGGCTGTGGCTGGAGCTCGGGGGCTGGTGGCCGGCGAGGAGGTGGCAACGAGGGTCTCCTCTCAGGACTGGCTGCCTTCTGGTGCCCTCAGGGGAGAGTGCTGAGTGGCTTTGTTGTCTCAGGGAGGATCTGTGTCTCTGGAGCGCAGGTGACTGTATGTGACCTCTCACTGTGTCTCTGGGTAGGAGTGGTTTGGATTTTTCCTACACTGGACGGAAGACTTACAGACAATGATGGTTTTGCATTTTAAAATTAATTTTATTTGAAATATGGAACTATGAGACACCTGATGAAATTGTGGATGCATTTTTTTTTTTGGTGTGGTTTGTCAACATCTGGCTTCTGCTGATGCAAGACTGAAGGCAATCACAAACTCTCCCTGTTTTCTGCTTAGCAGCTCTGCCAGGGCTCTTCAGTAGTAATCCTCACTTCTAATAAGCAGAATATTATTACATCCCACATTTTCTTCTGTAGAAAATACTCTTTGCTTCTTCCAAAAAAAAGAAATTAATGGGGTAAACATCCCATGTCTTCACTGGCAGAAGCAGGGCATATGCAGTAAGAAAACAAGATGATAGTTCAAAGTTAAAGCAGAGGCACGTGATACACCAGAGGTCTAGTGAAGGCCATGTTACAAGCATCTTCAGTATTCTGCATGGAAGGGGTACTCCTTGTGAGTTCTGGATCTGAAAGAAATTAAAGAGGGAATATTATTTTCATGGGTGACCTAAATGTTATATGGAGGTGTGTTGGGTGCATGGAGAATCCACCAAGGCAAGCTTTATGTCATGTAGTTACAGGAAGAATATGTGAAGCTATGTGTCCTCATTTCTCTAGTACAGACAAAGATGAAATGAACATCCAGAACCCATTTTTTGTAATTCAATTTGCAGAGAGTTTCCTGGAAACTGAATTAAAAATGAAAATGTAGTTTGTTTTCATTTGTTTGTTTTGGTTTGGTTTTTAAATATTAAAACCTCTCCTAAAAAAGTATTTTTGGAACAAACCAGTTGGAGTTTGAGTTGGAATGATTTTTAAATAAACTGAATTTCACGCTAACTGGTAGCTGTGACACAAAATTCTTTGTAAAGAATATTCAAAATTTAAGAGTTGGAAGGAAACAAGCAGTGTCACTTACATGCTCATTGCACAGATCCTCCAGTTTCTGTTAAAGCTGAGAATTGTTGCCATCTCCTCTTTAGTCAATTCAAAGTCAAACACCTAGGAAGAGAAACAGCTGGAAATCACCTCTTTGAAAAAATCAAACAGTATGAAGAGAGACAAGATTAGAGAGCAACTCCACACTGGAGGGTCCATTTTCAGTCATGGACCACTCAATTAACAGATAGAAGAACAACTTGTTTTATGGACACAAGAACTATTTTATGAACATTGCTTATTTTATATAAGACTTTTCTGGCATGTTACTGTGTTGGCTCCAAGCAAGCTATATGTGCTGGTTCATGCACAAGCCACACAACAGGAAATATTGTATAAGACCTGTTCATCTGTTCTCTCCAAAAGTAGGCCTGGCTTAACCCCCAGTAGAGTGTAGGCAAGCATAAAGAAAGAAAAAGCCCAGTTCTCTTGTCTGAGGAGGACTTGGGAAGGGTAGGAAAGGATCACTGCTTGCTCTGCAGGGAGACGCCGTGCTGTCCCTGAACATGCCATGAACGCAAGTCACTCCTAATAACCTACCTTGAAGTTCTCCACAATGCGCTGTGGTGTGACAGACTTGGGAATCACAATCACATTTCTCTGGATCTGGAAGCGAAGGAGAACCTGCAAGAACAGACCACTAAGTTGGAGAGAGGAAGACTCCTGTTCTGGAGGAAGCAGAGCCTGTTCCAA